GTTAACACGCATCTAAAATTGTCAGTATTTGCGATAAAAAATAAACACATAAACAGTTGTGTTTATTGATATTGCACTCATTCCAATATGGTAACTGTATCTATGTCACTGGTATGTCGCTGTTAATGGCACGTATCTATCGAAAAAACAGGTGTTATAGATAGATTTTAAATTTATATGAAAGAGGGTTATATTCGTCTATTCCGAATTTGTTATGACCACCTGTAGTATTTGAGATTATCTGCTTTCGGATTTTACCAAAAAGCTGGTGAATTGCAAACTTACGACATACAATCTTTGTCGTTTACAAAATAGTACTTATGCTTATAACAACTACACTAAGCCATGCCGAATCTTATATACCCACCATCAAATCATCCTTATTATTAAACTTTGATATCGAAGCAATTTTCTCATTCATTACATCTATGTTGAGTTTTATCATCATCAGGGTAATATTTGGAAGAGGACCTTTAATAAGGGCTTAAGTATGGACCGTGCTCTTCCAAATTAAAAATATTAATTTGATTTGGTCCAATTTTTATAACCCTAAACTATTTTCTTGTAAGAGTGGTTATATGAAGGGTAGAGTCAGAGTTGGACCTATTCTCAACGGTTTAGACAATAATCATTTGTATCGAATTTCATCGCTGTACTCCTATCTTTAATTCAGTCATGAGATTTGAAGTAATTTTCTGAAGGAAACCGATAATGAAGTGTTTGGATCAGTTATCGACCGATCCTCATCAAATTCATTTGAAAAATTTCAGTTCCTATAAAACTACTATAATTTGGAAGAACTTTTGACCCATAGATAAGTGTTTAAGTCATTTTCTGGAGTGAATCTTATATAAGGGTCAATTATAGACCGATCTTCATACAATTTTTTACATAAATTATGCTTCGTAAAGAAGTTGTTTATTTGAATTTCATCGCATAAGTTGTAATTTTAAGTAACTAATGAGAGTTAAAGTAATTCTACTGAAGTGGTCATTTATCGATCCATCTTCATCAAAGTCGGTAGGAAGACTTCAGTTCCCATAAAACTTGTTTATGTTTAATTTCATATATATACTCTTATTTTAATGCCAGCAATGTAGAGCCCTGCATGAGTAACTCTATTTGCTACACACAATGAGTGACTCATTGCTTTGCACTCAACTCATTGTTTGTTTAGAATAGTATTTACAAAGTTTTGTTATACTCAAACGTTGTGAGTACTATCAAGTGAATGTGCAACTACATTCAAATCGAGCTAGTAAACAATTTGTTTATGTTAAAACAATACAAAATAGATTGTTTGAATCGAATGAATCGATTCAAACTTTTTCTTGAATAAATGGTGAAAATTTTGAATGCTGTTAAAACTAGTTCCTGTGGCCCGAATTCGCTGAAATTTGGTAGTCTTGAGTACAATTGATGACAAGATAATATTATGTTCGAATATTCGAAATTAAGTTCGAAAATTCGAAGTTATGTTCGAAAAATTTTTTATGCTTTTAAATTATTCTTTGAGTCCAAAAAACTAAAAAAAAAATTTTCGAAAATTCGAACTCATGTTCGAAAAAAATTTAAAGCTGATAAAACCAGTTTCCGTGGACCAAATTGGTTGAAATTTGGCAGTGTTAAGTACAGTTGATGACGCTACTATATTATCTTCGACTATTCGAAATTAAGTTTGAAAATTCGAAGTAATATTCAAAAAATCTGTTAATTTGTCGAACTTAAAAATTGTTTTGCTTTCACTCGATTCACTCACTGTATACTACTTGAATTGAATCACACAAACACTCTCATTACTTGTTTCGTTTGAATTGAGTATTGACTAACATTCCTTATTTTCAAATATACTATTCATTTCATTCATAAAACAATGAGTGAGTCAAACACAGTGTTTGAAAAAAATCAAATGTTTTATGTGTTGTTTCTAGATAACGTGTGAGTAGTTTGAGTTAAAATTTTACTTGTATTTTGTTTTTGTTACAATAACAAAATACAAGTAAAATTTGTGCTCAAACTACTCGCTCGTTATCTAGAAACAACACATTAATTTATTATTTAAGTCACTCATGCAGGGCTCTAGTACATAAATGCCTTGGCATAAATAAACTTCCAATTTTCAGAAGAACTAGTTACTATTTTTACATTATAATTATGATTTGCAAGTCCATTACACATATGTATAAACAAACTATTTATTTATATACATAGAACATACATACATATGTACTTATATACTAACCTACTTATATACTAAGCTCTTATTATTGCTTGCATTGCTTTGCTCTCATTGTTTTGCAATTTTTTAGTTGATGCGCAGATTTAGTACGGTTCGGTTGACAAGTGTTTGAGCTCCGTGAAAATAATAAATAATTGTGTTAAAAGTGAATAAAATGTTGTAATTTTTGCATAAAAATGTTAAGAAACATTTACTTAACATTTTTCATTAAGAAAATGTGCAATAAATAATAAAGAAATTATTGAAAAAAGTGTTTAAACGCTAATTTTAATAAATTGCAACGCCGATCGCTTATTTTCTTTTGTTGTGGCCGTTCGTTAGTTCGTGGGATTCGTCGTATTGTGTGTGGAAATAAAATGGATGTGTGTGTTAAATTGTTTTTGTTTAAGGTTTTGTTAAGAAGTAAAAGGCAAAGAAGCAAATGAAGGAAATAGCTGAAAGTTAACTAAAGATGGCACTAGTAGCCACAAATAAAAAGCTTTTAAATGAAAGTTTGTGTATATAAATAAAGTTTAAGAAATAGCGAAAGTTTAAAATTTTAAATAAAAGATGGCATTTGCCACACCATGGCCTTTTTATATATAAAAATACATAAATAAAATGATAAGTGTTGAAATGAAAAATTATAGAATATAAATTTAATTTGAAAAAAAGTTTTTTGAGTATAAATTAATTGGCTTAAATATATTATAGGTATAACTCTCCGATTATGAAAAAATTTTTACCACATATAAAGCTTTTAATTCTATGACTTGTGATATATGTCTTTTGGTCAACAAATGTATAGTTTTGGAGTTATAGACCATCAAAGTTAAATTTATATATATTCGATATCTTCTCTAATTATGAACCGATCCTGACAATATATATATCGTTAGAAAGAGCTTTGAAATACCTTTTCAAAGATATATAATATGACCGCATTTATTAACCCTTTGAGAACAAATTCCACAAAAAGTATTTTTTATATAGAGTTTTTTGATGAAAGTGCCGTTATTTCATAAATCCATCGATATAATGGTACCGATAAATATCGAGAAAATTGTAGAAAAGATTTCAAGCTTTCTTTTGATGTATAGATATGTGCTAATATCTTAATAAATGGGGATGATATTTAAGTTTAAAAATAGTAAAGAGAGACTGTGATAAAAAATTCTTAAATTATTTAAAAAAGTGAAAAATTATTTTAAAAAAATCGCGCGATTTTTTTTTAAATAATTTTTATTTTTTTGGGGGGGTTTACAAATACAACATTTCATTACCCAAAAAATTTAAAAAAATTGTTCAGGTATGGCGCTACATACCCATTTCCGAATATTAACCCAGAAAATCCCAATTTACTCAATACACATAAATCGGTACCTTCTTATTTATGAATTTTTGATATAACAGATCTTTTATTAACAAAGGTTAATATAAAAAGTACAGTTTGTATTAATCCTTCTCAATATGCTAATAAATTAGCTTCTATTATATATCGTTGGACAGGTATTTTGATGTAATTTTCAATACTTTACGTATATTTAGTTTAGTACTTTATATAGTTATAATACTTTATTCCTGCCAAAACAACAACAATTAACAAATATCAAATAAAAAACATTAATTTTAGGTACTTTACCTTATTCCAACTACAATATCGTCTATATTTATTAAGATATTAGTATATCCATACATCAAATGAAAGCTTGAAATCTCTTCTGCAATTTTTCCATAACTATACATTTGTTGACCAAAAGACATATATCATAAATCATAGAATTAAAAGGCCTATAAGTGGTAAAATTTTTGTCAAAATAGGAGTGTTATACCCAATGTATATTAGTTCCAATTAATTTGTGAAAATTTGTTTTTAAAATTTAATATAATTAAAGATGGCATTGCCACACACCATGGCCTTTTATATAAAAAAATTATTGTGTTAAATAAGTTTTATAAATTAAAAAAGTTTAAAAATTATTTAAATTAGAAATTAATCAGTTTTATTTGAAAATTATAAAAATAATATCTAAAATTCAATATAACGAAAATAAATAAGAAAAAATTGTTTAATAAAGGTGAGTCCAATTACCTATTTTTGGAACTTTCTTAGAACATTTTTTATAAAAAAAGAAAATTAAATGAAAATTCCGTATGAATTTTATGTAGAATTAATTAATTAAAATTCAATATCTGTTTGATTTTTAATTGAAAATTCCATTTTGTTTTATTTTCTGTGGAAATTCAATTTCCTATTAAAAATCGGATTTCTATTAAAATTTTTGGTTGAATATAGCATTTTCTACTGAAATTTTCTATTGAAATTTTCAAAAATTTTTTAAAATTATTTTTTTTATTACAAATACAATTTTTTATTAAAAATTAAATTTTCTGTTTAAAATTCAAATTTCTATTAAAAATCGAATTTCTATTGAAATTTTCTGTCGAAATTAAATTTTCTGTTGAAATTAAATTTTCTATCGAAAATTCAATTTTTTATTTCAAATTTAATTTTCTATCAGAAATTAAAACTTATTTTTTAAAATTCTAATTTTAATTAAAATTAGGTTTTCTATTAAAAATTAAATTTTTAATTGAAATTTTCTATTGAAAATTTCAAAATTCAGTTTTATAGTAAAATTTTAATTTTCTAATGTTGAAAATAATTTTTTTTTTTAAATGGATTTTAAATTTAAATTGTGGACTTGATGGTGTAACTGAAACTTTATTGAGCATAAAAATTCATGCTTTTTACAACGTCAAACCTTAAAAATTCTCAAAGCCAATTACTTTTATCATTATTAACAATTTAAATAACTATTGCATACATATCTCTTCCCGATCTTACAATGATCTCGTTAACAACATCAATTCGTAGGGATTTTTATTACTTAAAAATTTCAGTTGATCCTCAAATCCTTCGGGGGTCTTCTGAATCCAATGACGATCCAAATAATATTGTATGCAACTATGGAATTCCTTATCGGTATAACCTTCAATGTGTACGGGAACGAAGGGGTCTAAATGTTCGAAGCCTTTACGGCCCAACAGATAGCGAGGCAAATAGGAATCCATATAACCTTCAGTCATGGCTATTTTATCTACCGATAAAACACAAACACCATTTGTCCAATTGTAATTGGTGATATCGAGGAAGGGTTGTGTTAGAGTAATTTGTTCGGGTTTCATTCTTTGTTTATTATCGCCAAAAATTCGTGTTTCAGGATGAAAGAAGGCATTATAACCATCAATGGCTACCATTACTTTGCATTTGTTATTGCTGGCATGTTGCTTAATTTCGCCTAAAAGGGCTGCTATGGTTTCCGATGCAAACTTAATGCGAGTAATGCCATGTTCTATTAATTCCGATAGAGAACTGCCCGCAGGGGTAGATTCACGTTTAGACCATACATATTCCTGGGAAGTTTTCAAATCCAAAGACTGCAATAAGGCTGAATTTTGATTTTTGAAATGCAACAACCAAGCGGCTGCATCAAAAGGCAAATCTATAAAACCCTCCTGAGCGGCATTGGCAGTTTCTTTAGGTCTCTTCATCCAATTAGGAGCCCAGGGTACATGTACCAAGAGGAAACCATTTTGGTGGCCATAGTGTATAACATGAGCCATGGTCAAAGACTTGCCCACACCATTCTCACCATAAAGCACATAGCGGACCACAGGTTTTGTGAAATCCGTATTTTCAATATAATTAATAACTTCCATGGCAGGCTGTCTAACCATCAAACACGCCTCGGTAAAAGTTTTCACTTGTGCCTCAAACTTTTTGGGAAAACCACCACCGCCAAACAGTTGTTTCTTTACCTCCGCTGGTATCGTGTAGAATTTGGCTTCATGGATATTTGAATGCTTTGCGGTATTTGCTTCATTGGTGCGGTAATCAGTTGGCACTAATGCGGCTCTAAGGGAATTTTGTATTTCATTTACATCGACCGCTGCTGCTGCCGTTCCAGTATGACGGTGTGTAGCCAACTGTGGCAATTTTCGTAAAGATTGACGAACGAACATTTTTACGCTAGAAATTAGTTAATAATTTATTTGTTTTAATTGAATTTTTTTATAAAAATGTAAAATTTTTAAGATTTCTCACTATTTTGTTCTTGCTCGTGCAGTGTTGGAAAGAAGAAGAATATTGACAATCAGCTGTGTGCTGTGTTGAGAAATTATATGTGTGTGTTTACAGCTGTGAGGAGTGTTAAGCTACTCAACGTTAGATGGCAGTGATGTTAATTCCTAATGCGTTGCATATTTTTAGGAGTGAAGTAATAAAACAAAAAATGTTTAAAAGCTAAACGTATACATAATTTTAAATTACTCATACGATTTTATTAATCGATTTTTGTCAGTTTTCGCTATCTGATTGAAATGTGTTACATTTTCTGATCTAGTTATTTACTGTTTGATATTTGAAAAATGTCTTATCTTGATTTATAACAGATAAATAACTTCAACACTATATTGGGTGTACCCACCATAACGTGTAAACGAAAAATAAATTTCTGAGTTGATTATCTCAGAAAGTGATTCTTCCAGTTCTAGTTCAGTTCTAGATCAGTTCTAGATCAGTTCTAGTTCAGTTCTAGTTCAGTTCTAGTTCAGTTCTAGTTCAGTTCTAGTTCAGTTCTAGTTCAGTTCTAGTTCTAGTTCAGTTCTAGTTCGTTCTAGTTCAGTTCTAGTTCAGTTCTAGTTCAGTTCTAGTTCAGTTCTAGTTCAGTTCTAGTTCAGTTCTAGTTCAGTTCTAGTTCAGTTCTAGTTCAGTTCTAGTTCAGTTCTAGTTCAGTTCTAGTTCAGTTCTAGTTCAGTTCTAGTTCAGTTCTAGTTCAGTTCTAGTTCAGTTCTAGTTCAGTTCTAGTTCAGTTCTAGTTCAGTTCTAGTTCAGTTCTAGTTCAGTTCTAGTTCAGTTCTAGTTCAGTTCTAGTTCAGTTCTAGTTCAGTTCTAGTTCAGTTCTAGTTCAGTTCTAGTTCAGTTCTAGTTCAGTTCTAGTTCAGTTCTAGTTCAGTTCTAGTTCAGTTCTAGTTCAGTTCTAGTTCAGTTCTAGTTCAGTTCTAGTTCAGTTCTAGTTCAGTTCTAGTTCAGTTCTAGTTCAGTTCTAGTTCAGTTCTAGTTTAGTTCTAGTTCAGTTCTAGTTCAGTTCTAGTTCAGTTCTAGTTCAGTTCTAGTTCAGTTCTAGTTCAGTTCGAGTTCAGTTCTAGTTCAGTTCTAGTTCAGTTCTAGTTCAGTTCTAGTTCAGTTCTAGTTCAGTTCTAGTTCAGTTCTAGTTCAGTTCTAGTTCAGTTCTAGTTCAGTTCTAGTTCAGTTCTAGTTCAGTTCTAGTTCAGTTCTAGTTCAGTTCTAGTTCAGTTCTAGTTCAGTTCTAGTTTAGTTCTAGTTCAGTTCTAGTTCAGTTCTAGTTCAGTTCTAGTTCAGTTCTAGTTCAGTTCTAGTTCAGTTCTAGTTCAGTTCTAGTTCAGTTCTAGTTCAGTTCTAGTTCAGTTCTAGTTCAGTTCTAGTTCAGTTCTAGTTCAGTTCTAGTTCAGTTCTAGTTCAGTTCTAGTTCAGTTCTAGTTCAGTTCTAGTTCAGTTCTAGTCAGTTCTAGTTCAGTTCTAGTTTCAGTTCTAGTTCAGTTCTAGTTCTAGTTCAGTCTAGTCAGTTCTAGTTCAGTTCTAGTTCAGTTCTAGTTCAGTTCTAGTTCAGTTCTAGTTCAGTTCTAGTTCAGTTCTAGTTCAGTTCTAGTTCAGTTCTAGTTCAGTTCTAGTTCAGTTCTAGTTCAGTTCTAGTTCAGTTCTAGTTCAGTTCTAGTTCAGTTCTAGTTCAGTTCTAGTTCAGTTTCTAGTTCAGTTCTAGTTCAGTTCTAGTTCAGTTCTAGTTCAGTTCTAGTTCAGTTCTAGTTCAGTTCTAGTTCAGTTCTAGTTCAGTTCTAGTTCAGTTCTAGTTCAGTTCTAGTTCAGTTCTAGTTCAGTTCTAGTTCAGTTCTAGTTCAGTTCTAGTTCTAGTTCAGTTCTAGTTCAGTTCTAGTTCAGTTCTAGTTCAGTTCTAGTTCAGTTCTAGTTCAGTTCTAGTTCAGTTCTAGTTCAGTTCTAGTTCAGTTCTAGTTCAGTTCTAGTTCAGTTCTAGTTCAGTTCTAGTTCAGTTCTAGTTCAGTTCTAGTTCAGTTCTAGTTCAGTTCTAGTTCAGTTCTAGTTCAGTTCTAGTTCAGTTCTAGTTTAGTTCTAGTTCAGTTCTAGTTCAGTTCTAGTTCAGTTCTAGTTCAGTTCTAGTTCAGTTCTAGTTCAGTTCGAGTTCAGTTCTAGTTCAGTTCTAGTTCAGTTCTAGTTCAGTTCTAGTTCAGTTCTAGTTCAGTTCTAGTTCAGTTCTAGTTCAGTTCTAGTTCAGTTCTAGTTCAGTTCTAGTTCAGTTCTAGTTCAGTTCTAGTTCAGTTCTAGTTCAGTTCTAGTTCAGTTCTAGTTCAGTTCTAGTTCAGTTCTAGTTCAGTTCTAGTTCAGTTCTAGTTCAGTTCTAGTTCAGTTCTAGTTCAGTTCTAGTTCAGTTCTAGTTCAGTTCTAGTTCAGTTCTAGTTCTAGTTCAGTTTAGTTCTAGTTCAGTTCTAGTTCAGTTCTAGTTCAGTTCTAGTTCAGTTCTAGTTCAGTTCTAGTTCAGTTCTAGTTCAGTTCTAGTTCAGTTCTAGTTCAGTTCTAGTTCAGTTCTAGTTCAGTTCTAGTTCAGTTCTAGTTCAGTTCTAGTTCAGTTCTAGTTCAGTTCTAGTTCAGTTCTAGTTCAGTTCTAGTTCAGTTCTAGTTCAGTTCTAGTTCAGTTCTAGTTCAGTTCTAGTTCAGTTCTAGTTCAGTTCTAGTTCAGTTCTAGTTCAGTTCTAGTTCAGTTCTAGTTCAGTTCTAGTTCAGTTCTAGTTCAGTTCTAGTTCAGTTCTAGTTCAGTTCTAGTTCAGTTCTAGTTCAGTTCTAGTTCAGTTCTAGTTCAGTTCTAGTTCAGTTCTAGTTCAGTTCTAGTTCAGTTCTAGTTCAGTTCTAGTTCAGTTCTAGTTCAGTTCTAGTTCAGTTCTAGTTCAGTTCTAGTTCAGTTCTAGTTCAGTTCTAGTTCAGTTCTAGTTCAGTTCTAGTTCAGTTCTAGTTCAGTTCTAGTTCAGTTCTAGTTCAGTTCTAGTTCAGTTCTAGTTCAGTTCTAGTTCAGTTCTAGTTCAGTTCTAGTTTCAGTTCTAGTTCAGTTTCTAGTTCAGTTCTAGTTCAGTTCTAGTTCAGTTCTAGTTCTTCTAGTTCAGTTCTAGTTCAGTTCTAGTTCAGTTCTAGTTCAGTTCTAGTTCAGTTGTTTCGTTCTTCTCAGTTCATTCTAGTTCAGTTCTAGTTCAGTTCTAGTTCAGTTCTAGTTCAGTTCTAGTTTCGGTTCTAGTTCAGTTCTAGTTCAGATCTAGTTCAGTTCTAGTTCTAGTTCAGTTTTTTCAAACCTCTTTAATGGTTTGAATGAAATACAACATCATTATACAATTAATAATCGCTGGCGTACTAATTTGATCGTTAGATATTACTAAAGCATAAATATCCTAGAATTATACAATTTATGTAATTTTTGCTATGAAATGTCATGGAAAGAGGTGAAACTGGAGCTGAACAAGTACAAGAAACCTAAATTCTGTCTTATTGCAATGTTTAGTTTGCATGGACCGAAGGTTATCACTTGCAATCGAATTTTAAAACATTTTTTAACAAAAATTTTCTCTCGGCCCTATGTTTCGGTTTAGCTATAAATGTAAAAAAACAAACACTTTATTTTATTAAGAAAACATTAAAAAATTTCAACACTTTATTCGTAAATTACTGACTGGAGAAAAAATAAAACACAACAAAGAAAGAGTATTTAAAATGAATAACAAAAAAATGTGATTCATGCAACTCACGAATCGTTTTCGTATCAGATTTAACACCAATCGGAAAGACCGACAGGTTGACCAAAGCCCAAACCGAAACCACCGCCATAACCGTAACCAGCACCGGCACCATATGAAACTGGAATACTGGCACCATAACCACCACCATAACCAGCACCATAGCCAGCACCATAACCACCACCATAACCAGCGCCATAGCCAATACCGTATGAAGAACCATAACTACCGCCATAGGAACCTGTATAAGCAGGTGTAATCAAAGGAGCAGTGGAAGTAACAACTGGAGTAGAAACAGCGGTTACTACTGGGGTAACTACTGCCGAAGTGGATACAGCAGGTTGGTAGGCAGCGTAATTAGCACCATAACCGCTAGCATAACCACCACCATAGCCGCCAGCATAACCGCCAGAGTAGCCACCACTGCCGGGTACTACAGTCACCTTAATTACTTTGACATTGCTACCACCATAACCCGAGCCATAACCACCACCATATCCATAACCACCGCCATAACCTCCACCATATCCATAACCACCACCATACCCTGTATTCAAACTTCTGCCATAACCAGCTGCACCACTAGTTGTGCCTCCAATTAAAAATCCCAATTTATCGAAGGTAGCCTGAGCTGGTGCCAATGCAGCTACTAAAGCAAAAACACAAACGAACAATTTCATTTTAAAGTTGTTGGTTTTTTCTTTTGTGGTTTAAAGTTGATAAAATTTGTATTTCGTTTCCAAGTATGTTTTCCTAATGGAATACTTGAGTTAACTAATGTCAATGTTGGGTCACATTGTGGATTATATACTAAACATTTAGTTTCTGACAACAATGCTTACATTGTTTTACTATTCGGTTTCTATTTTTTCAGTGTCTCCGAAAACTTAATTTTAGTGCTTTTTCCAATAAGTCTGGGTAATTGTTTATTGAGTTGTGGTTAAATATTTTACAAAAAAAAGCTAAAAAAACAAAAACCTAAAATACAATTTAACACTTATTCGTTGAGTTAATATTAGTGCCGTTTTGTTTAAAGTAGAGAGATACTAAAAATAAGGTGAACAAACGTTCTAAGAATCAATATTAAATTAATAATCTATTCTAAATAAGTGTGTGTTTACTATTAGGGTGATGCGGTTGTAAGAAAGGAATGGAAAAGCGAAGGGTTTCTTAAGTGTTTGTTCAGTTTTTAGTTCAGTTCTAGTTCAGTTTAGTTCAGTTCTAGTTCAGTTCTAGTTCAGTTCTAGTTCAGTTCTAGTTCAGTTTTAGTTCAGTTCTAGTTT